AACGCTTTTTCCTTCCCACAGGATCTGAAACACATGGACATGATGCTTTAGTCGAGCAATTAGAAGCTTCTCCATCTGAATGTGATCAAGCAGACTCAAGCTAATCCACATTTCAATCTGCTTCCTGACCTCAATGACAGTGATGTCTCAAATGCAGAACATCTTAGAATGAAAGTAGACTGATTTCACCACATAACAAACACAACATGTCTGCCTGTCTCTGTGATTTATGTGAAACATTCCAGCTGCTGGACATACATGACCTGAGCCTCTGTTCACTCTCGTGTCCTGTCATGAGCTTCCCTCTTAAAACATGGGACACACTCATTTCTATTAACCTTTATTAATTCAGCAACTTTCATTTAAGTTAGCAACTTACAAAAAAACACAAGCAATTTACCTTAAAATAATATGTATGAAAAAATCACTGTTGCCAGTAAAATAGAAATTCACCTTTACTGTCCTTGTATCTTGATTATAATTATTATAAAGTTTACTGAAAACTATAGCCATTAGACATACTTTCTAGACAACATGTAATCCCCAGCCTTAGACATGTTCTTGTGCCATCAATTTTCTAAAACTTTAATTAGTTTTATTAAGTGTTTTGTATTTTTGGAATTTGATCTAAACCACCAATAATCCTTAAGGGGGAAAACCCCCCTCGCAGAACCAAAAAGCTAGTTTGATGCTGTGGTGAATCAGACACACACCTGTCCTGGCACCATAAAATCAGCCATAACTCTCCCTCTCTAGATAAATTAGTGTTTTAGGCTTGCATGAGCTTGTATAGAGGTGGAGAGACAGAAAGAAATGAATATATATAGAGAACTGAACACTACACACTTGATGTGTTTCATCTGATGCCATTAAATTGACTGTTAGCCATCGGTTCTGAACATGGTTAATAACATTTGAATCCATGAATATGATATAATGTGTTGACATACTCGCTTGAGCAGCTTGTCTGTTCTTTCGGTGTGTACTGACGAGTCAAAGAGGATGAGTGATAGATTAGGTTCTGTTGTCCGAGCCATGAACGGCAGAAGGGTGCGAAATGGAGTCGCCAAACCTTGGAATGTCTTGGAATCTTTCCAGGATTCACAAAGGTGTTCTAAAGTGACTCTAACAGTTTCAAACATTTACAAAAACACACAGAAGAGACATTTCAGTTGTAATGTTACAGAGATCCTTCACTTTTATAGCCTTGGAGAAAGAATCAATGTTTGGGGATCTGATTTCAAATGCAGAGACAAAAAAAAGCAGATCTGAACCAGATAGAAATTTAGAGGAATGGTTCACCCAAAAATGAATATTCTGGTACAATTTACTCACCCTCACGTCGTTCCCATAGGATTGTGTTTAATCTTTGAAACACAAAACACATCCTGAGAGGTTTCTGTCCCTCCATTGAAAATCCAGTTACCAAAACAGTCTGGACTTTAAACGATCCAGCTATAAAGGTGCTATAAAATTAACCAATATGAATTAAGAAGATTATAAGTTTTCTGAAGATATATGATCCCTTTATATGATGATGTATTTGCCATACAGTATATGAAGAGCTGCATGTATGTCAATCATTGTTTAGATGTTAAAAAAAGGCCTAAATTAAATCTGGTCATCATATAAAGTGACCGTATCTCTTCACAAGAAGATTATATATGGATTAATTTGACAGTGCCTTTATAACCTCTTTGGATTTTTAAGTTGTGGTTACCTGAACCCTTTCAATTATCATTAAAATATCTTTATTTGTGTTTCAAAGATCCAAAAGTCTTTGGAACAACATGAGGGTGAGGGTGAATTTTGATTTTTGGGTGAACTATCCCTTTAATGGACAAAGGAACTCAATTTGGTAATGAGAATGAAGCAGAACATGGATAAAGCCTTCGACTGCCGGGATGGAATAAAACGGACACAGCAGGCTCCGGAATGTTGGGATTCTTTATAGAAGTCTTAATGATGTCCCAGAGTATTTTAAGATCCGGAGACGAGCTGAATGAACAGCTGTGCGCCTAAACCAGAACTCATTCCAGACGACTTCAGACACATTTTAAAATGTGTGTGTGCGTGACTGTGCGGGTATATGAATGGATGAACGTGGTCTGGGACACTTGGAGTACAAAGAAAACTTGAATGAATCGCACAATATGATGTATTATTGGGGAGGCTTTAGAGTCGCTGTGACCCAGACTGTGTGTTTATGTCTGTGTCTGTGCTTCCCGTAACAAACACCCACAGGTGCTTGAGACAGGTATACTAGTCTTCATATTCATGCCTCGGGGGGATTAGGACACTGACTGACATCTCAAGTAACTGATTTATAGAAATTGCGTTTGGTGTGTGTGTGTGGGGAGTAAAGATCTTTCTCTGCAGACTTTATGATTCCCAGAGCTGTGTGTCACAATGAAGTGTGGTGTCCCCACTTTAGGTGTGGGAGTGTTTGATGTGTCATGCACACACATCAATCTAAACATTCCTCCCTGTCTGAGAATCGCTTAATGTCATGACTAAGCAACAAAACCTGTCAGAGACACACTGATATACTTTTCTGTGTTCAACTAGTTTAGAGATTCTGCTCAATGTTTTACATTAATTGTAAGGACATTGCTTGGTCAAGACTATTTATTTTGAAAAGCACAGATTAGATGTTCAAAATGGAAATAGTAATATTTTTTATTTGATTATTTTTAACATTACAATACCGACCATATTTATAGAAACCTGATTCTGCCACAGAATAAAAATATATAAGGTAATTGAGACTTTTTATTTCACAATTCTGACTTTTTTCTCAATTCTGAGAAAAAAAGTCAGAATTGTGAGATATATTTTAGTTATAAATATATAGTTTAAATTTCACAAATCTGAGTTTATATCTCGTAATTCTGACTTCTTTTCACAGAACTGCAGGTTTAAACCTTGCAACTTTAACTTTTTTCTCAGAATTCTGCATACTTCATCTTAAAGTCACACACAAGTTTGACTGCCAGCACAGTATGTAAGCTTTGATGAAACTCTTTTTGATGAAAGAGTGAATGGTTTTAACAGCAATGCAATGTTGATGAACTGGGAAATATCACTCTAATGAGGGAAATCTGCTCTCAGTTTCTTGAGAGTTGACTCACCCTTAGATGAGAGTTTTGGTGGAGATTAGTAATACCAGTTTGAAACCCACACAAAGAGACTGTAAGAGAAAATTGATTGCAGCCACCTAAGCGACCAGTGGTTTTACAGTAAACATGACCTCAGTCCTTCATTTACATTTATTTTGCCTCTTTCTCACACATACATCACGGTCAGTACTGCAATAGATTTGAGAGTTTTTGTGATTAATAGGTTAGTAGTTTCCCCTTGCATTAATCATATTATTTGTGAGATAAATCAATGCATATTTGTTTGTTTTGATTAAATCTAATTTAAAGGGGTCATATGATGTGATTTCAAGTTTCCCTTTCTCTTTGGAGTGTTACAAGCTGATTGTGCATAGATAAGATCCCTGAAGTTGCAAAGACTAAAGTCTCAAAAACAAAGAGATATTCTTTATCAAAGTTAAGACTCTGCCATGCCCCCCTAAAACGGCTCGTTCTAACACGCCCCCACATATCTACCTCACTACCTCACGCCCAAATGTTCAGGCAAAGAAAGAAGGCGTGGTTTCAGTAACCGCAGTTAGTGTTGAAGCAGCCATGTCAGGGAGACGCTGTGTGTTTCTAGGCGAAAGCAAAAGCACTTTATTTGACCTTCCGAAAGTAGATGCATTAAGATTACTTACAACAGAACAGCAATGCATTTTATGGACGACCGTTTCGTGAACCTAGGAGAGGAGGTAATTCTGACTTTGCTATGACAATCTGGCGCTTCTGAATCAGCTACTGTTTTGTTATTAGCTTAAGTAAGTGTGTTTGTGTGCACGCACGCACGCGCGTGTGTGTTAGAGAGAAAGAGAGAGAGAGAGAGAGACATCACAGTGGAGTCAGCAGTCTTAACCGTGGCTTGTGTACTGCAAACACATGGAGCAGTTGGGGGTTCAGTGCCTTGCTCAAGGGCACCTCAGTCGTGGTATTGAAGGTGGGAGAGAGCGCTGTACATTCACTCCCCCCACCTACAATCCCTGCAGGTACGAGACTCGATCCCACAACCTTTGGGTTACGAGTTCGACTCTCTAACCATTAGGCCACGACTTCCCTTGCGATTATGGTAAGGGGAGTTTCATTTCCGACGAGTGCTTGCGATGTTTGGCCAATCACAATGCACTGGGTCAGCTGGCCAATCAGAGCAGACTGCGCTTGTCGGAAGGAGGGACTTTGTAGAAAACGAAGCGTTTGAGAGAGGCGGGGCATAGAGGACCTACAATAATGTACAGTATATGAAAAATAATGTGTTTTTTGAACATTAAAGCATGCCAACATATTCTGTTACACCAAATACACAAAATAATGATCTTTAAAAAAGCATCATATGACCCCTTTAATTGAACAATATTTGTGACCCTGGACTACAAAACCAGTCTTAAGTCGCTTGGGTATATTTTTAGCAATAGCCAAAAAAAACATTGTATGGGTCAAAATTATTGATTTTTCTTTTATGCCAAAAATCATTAGGATATTAAGTAAAGATTATGTTCCATGAAGATATTTTGTAAATTTCCTACCGTAAATGTATCAAAACTAAATTTTTGATTAGTAATGTGCATTGCTAAGAACTTCGTTTAGACAACTTTAAAGGCGATTTTCTCAGTATTTAGATTTTTTTCGCACACTCAGATTCCAGATTTTCATATAGTTGTATATCTTATAAATGTTGTCATATCCTAACAAACCATGCATCAATAGAAAGCTTATTTATTCAGCTTTCAGATGATGTATAAATCTATGTTAAAATCTATATCTTATGACTGGTTTTGTGGTCCAGGGTCACATTTTAGCTAATAATATTTTAATATAATTGGGCACTCCCTTTGATTTACATGCCATCCTCTCTGTTCCATTGGACAGGTGGTTTTGTGAGGGGCGGGAGCTGCACCACTGCCCTGATATCCAGATCTGTCGTAATGGTGACTTGCACACTCTGGTGATAACTGAAGCATTTGAAGACGACACCGGCAGGTACACCTGCGTAGCTTCCAACGCACTGGGAGCAGACAACACCTTTGCAGAGGTCTATATTGAAGGTGAGGTCATAGTTAAATCATTTTTTGATCAGTATATATATATATATATATATATATATATTGTTTTTCAAAGTAATAAAATATTATCATCCTTTATACAAGATAAATGATTACACAAGAAAGTATTTTCTTTCTGTTTTATGTCTTAAGCATAAGTCTAATAAAATCTAGTAGCAAATGGATAAATGTTTAGAAATAGAAAAATATTGTGTATTATAATTTGTATAAATATGAAAAATTTATATTTAGCAATGCTTTGCAAACAATTCAAATGAAACATAATTACTACCACAAAATAATTACATTATACTAATTAGATGACGTTTAATAGTATTAAGGCACAGTCACATTATTGAAATTTCAGCCAAATTTAGTGGACACTCTGTAAAGTTGCTTTATCCTCAAACTATGAGGTGAAGGATCCGTGCATGTTCTTCCTCACGTGACCTTGAACCCTTTTACCTCAGCTGACAGCTTAACCGGCCCTGACTATGTATTATCTAATAGCCCCTAATTTAGTGCCATAAAAGTGCCATTTCTGTTACCTAACCTGAAGCACGTGGCAGGTTGTTTGGGTATGAAGTGACCTTAAATAATAGCCAAGGCCTTTCACCTTTACATAAAACTCCTGAGCACATGGATTCCTATTAAAAATGACTGGATTTCATACATGCAGTTTTGCTGAGCAAAGGTAAATGTGACTGCACATTTATTCAGTACTTAAGGTCCGTTCACACCAAGAATGATAATGAAAAAATAACTACAATGATAGCTATATTTGCAACACACAATAATATTGTTTATCATCAGTGCATGATGCAGATTTGTTGTCTGCCACTTGCTTGCTTTTTAAAGCAGGATGGATTCTGATTGGCTGTCATTGATTTTATCGTTCATCAGCTGTAAGTGATGAACTATCGTTCCTCTGTGTTTTTATTGTTAAAGTTGTGGTGTGAACTTCGCTATTCTCATATTAGTATGATTGTTAAAACTTTATAGTTATCATTATAGTTATCGGTTACACTTTATTTCGATAGTCCACTTTAGACATTCTACTAACTATAAGTAACTTTGTAACTACATGTCAACTACATTTCAACTAATTCTCATTTATTTGCAACTACATGTCTACTAACTCTCAGAGTAGACTGTTAGGGTAGGTTTAGGGTTAGTAGAATAAGTTGACAAAGAAAGTGTTAGAAGATATTAAGCAAACAGTCTACTAATACTCTACTAACTGCTAGTTAACATGTAGTTGCAAAGTTACTTACTGTTAATAGAATGTCTAAAGTGGACTATCGAAATAAAGTGTTACCTAGTTATCTCCCTTGGAGTGAAGGAAAGCAACGTGCAGCCTAAAATGTTTTAACCAGGAGTTAATGGTTTTCTCTTCCATTTTCTCATTATGTTTCTCTCTGTAAAGGCACTTCTTCCTCAGACTCAGAAGGTGAAGGATCCGTGTCGAAGTCTAGGTCTGGAGCCATGCCACAGTATGTGTGTTTCAGCATGTTCCACCTCGCAGGACCTTTAATTAACCCTTTTTGACCTCAGCTTAACTGGCCCTGACTATGCATTATCTAATAGCCCATAATTTACCCTCTGCCATGAAAGTTTATTACTCCTCCTGAAGAACATGGCAAGTTGTTTGGGTATGAAGTGACCTTAAAGAATAGCCAAAGCTGTTAGACTGCTTGTCTTTGATGGCCAATGATCAATCAAGAATTTAGTTATTGTGTTGTCTAATCTTCTTACTTTGTGTGATCGCTTGAACTCTCTTCAGTCACCTCTGATTTCTTCAGTCATGCGCTTATTTCTCTTCCTGTCATCTCTTGCCTTTACTGGACTATCAGTCTTTCCTTACTGTTTACACAAATTATTAAGCGTTTGGCTCTGGTGCCCAGTGACATCATCACACCCATTTGGGATTAGCTTTCACTGGCTCCAAAGTCATTTATAAGGTGCAAACTGCATAGTGAAAATTCAGACAGTGTGGAGTGGATATTACTTCACTCTGTCTGTCTCTGTGTGTATGTGTGTGTGTGTGTGTGTGTGTGTGTGCGTGTGTGTGTGTGTGTGTAAATTGGTGCATGTTAGAGAGCAATTACCCCACACAGAAAGCATGTAAACAATTTCTAACATTATATCGTTTATAACTTTTCTTAGCTTATATTTCTATATATTTGCTGTCGGAAACTTTCACTTTAAATTAAATGACTTGGGGCCAGATTTACTAAACAGGGCAAATTAGCCTGAGAGTGCAATTCCAAAAAAGCGCTAATGGGAGTGGAAATTTCTGCGGGTGATTTACTGACAATGCACAAATTAAAGAACACAGACACAGCCAGATCATTTCCATAATGACCAACACAACCTACCAAGAGCAGCGCTTTTTTTTTGGATGTTAAATAATGGCGCAAATACCAGTAATTTGACAAGCGCAGACGTTAGTAAATCGACTGTAAACCGCCAAAAGACGGTTTGCGTTGGCGCAAGCTGTTAGTAAGTCTGGCCCCTAATGTTTTAAAAGTCAGACAAACACTGTTAAGACTTTAAATAAACCTGTATCGGCCCATTAGAGGTGAATATAGCTTTTTTAATATGCTCAAATAGGATATCACTCTCACTTTCAGTCTGGCAAAGATCTGCCCATGGGCATCAGAAACACTACTGTACATCTTTTTCACTAGCACTAGTGTTTTTAGTATTATTGAGATACTATTATAGTTTTTAATTCATATTTTGAATGTTTTTATTTTTATATTTTCAATTTTAGTTAACATTTTTAACATTTTAGTTAACAGTGTTTTTTCATTTTTGTTAGTCTTTTTAAATTTATTTTAGTTTTCTTTTTATTTATTTTAGTACAAGTTAAACTAAACTTGATACATTTAAACTAAAAATTAAACTAAAAAAAAAGAGAAATGTTGCCTTGGCAACTAGTTGAAATAAAATATTCAAGTTTTTTTCTATTTTATTTTATTTCAGTTAACATTTATTTTATTTAACAAAAATGCTTTTATGGTTTTAGTTTTATCTCCACTATTTTCCCCACAATCCAAAGACATGCAGCATAGGTGAAATTCAGGGATCCTCAAATCTGGCCCACAAGATCCATTTTCCTGCAGAGTTTAGCTCTAACATAAACTCAAACACACCTGAGCAAGCTAATCAGTGTCTTCAGGATCATTAGAAAATCACAGGTAGGTGAGTTTGATCAGGGTTGGAGTTAAACTCTGCAGCGCATTGGCCCTCCAGGGCAAGATTTGAGGAACCCTGCTCTACATAGTCTGTGTGTGAGCCCTGAGATGGATTGGCCATTCGTTCACGATGACCTGAGATGCCTGTGGCCCAAAATGCTGAAATAGGCTCCAGCCTCCCGTGACCCTGCAGAGGATAAAGCAGTTTGGAAATGGATGGATTGATAGAAGGGTTGTAGTTTTAGTGAAATATAATAACCCTGACCAGCACTTAAACAAATTCTGACCACTGATTTATTCTGGGGCAAAATATATATAACCCAGCTGTTTCTGTATTTTTGCCTGGTTTGTTATATGTGATACTAAACTGGGTCACATAATAAAAATGTAACTTCACTTGAAGAAATTTTAATGGACTGTGACGGAGCAAAAAGATTGATACACTTGTCATTGCTTGACAAAATGTTTTCAACTTTCGGCCAGGATGACTCAAAATACCCATTTCTTTCAGTCACAAGGTTTATTTTTTGGTTCAAACGCACATGAATATTGCAAGATGTGAGAAGTGTGTGTTCACTGCTGTGTGTGCACTTTGGATGGGTAAATGCAGAGCACTAATTCTGAGTATGGGTCACCATACTTGGCCACATGTCACTTCACTTTCAAGTGTTCTTTACTTTATATCTAAATGTTTTTTTGAAGCATGACTTTATAGTGTTGATGATTTGTTCTCTCAGGTCTGAATGAGGTTTGTTTTAGTGTTGCTAATATTTTCTCTCAGGGCACAGAAGAAAACCAGCTCAGTTTCCTTGACGATACACACATCATCACTAAAGAGCCCAGAGGCCCAACCCCATCGCTCCACACTGGTCCAGCCGCTTTCTTCTAAACCGCAAAGAGTAAGAAATACACATGCAGACTATACCTCCTATTTTGGCACTGAAACTGTATACTATAGAGTGCTGCAGGAATGAGTCCTAAAACCTAGAAACAAGTTATCCACTACAATGACAGAGAAATTGACACATGCACAAATATGTCTGAAAGATTCATCAGGAATGACAACAGCAGATGGACTTATAAAAATTCATGCTCTCTGGAAAGATCCATAATAACAACACTTATTGTCTCTCTTTCTCCCTCTCTGTCAGGTCCAGAGTCCAGTTTCTTCACTCTGTGCTGGTGATGCTCCTGTTAAAGCACCCCCTACCTTTACTAAGGTAATGACACGGCCACACACACACAAGCACACACACACATATTTTGAGAAATGGACAGATTAATCATTGTATGAGCTTTACCAAATTATTCCAGGCCTGCTTTCTGTGTCGGTGTGTGTGTGTGATTTGTCATGTGACCCTCTGTGCAGGCCTAGGCAGAGGTTCAGAGTTCAATGCCAAATGCTATGTTTGCTTAGTGTGCTAAATAATTTTCCACCTCCTTAAAGAAATTAAGTTTTTTTTAGCCCCCCCCTTCTCTCCATTATCCCACTTCATCTTTCTTCTGAGAGACTTTAATCCTCCTAATGAGAAGATGTGCCTTTTTATAATAGATGGTTTCGTGTCATCATCAAAGTCCTAAACAAACAGGCACACAAATGAAATGGCTGGATTGTAAAGACATACTTCTTTACTTGAACTTTAAATAAACCTATAACACATCACGTGTAACCACAAGCATGCTACACACTTACACAAAGCTTCAAAGAGAATGAACGCACAACAGAAAGCAACTCACACACACATGTATAAACAAACTACTCTACTCTTCTTTTTACTTTTATGGGTTGCTGACAGTTTCTCGCCTCTATGTCTGTTATGTTTTCAGTCTGAAAGTGTATGTACTTGAGAATGAAGGAGGTGATGAAGAAAGAGCAGAATTAGTGGTTGTACACCTTTTCATCTGTCTTTTCAGTTTTTCTTTTCATCTGTCTGTTCTCTTTCCCTTTGTTTACCTCTCAGTCTGTATTTCCAGTGTTAACCTGTGGTCCTTTCGCTCTGTAGATGTTGCAGGATGCACAGGCATCTGAAGGTCAGGTGGTGGTCCTGGAGTGCCGGGTGAGAGGTAGTCTTCCTCTGTGTGTCCAGTGGTTTCGAGAGGGCCAGGAGATCCAGGACTCCCCTGACTTCCGCATGCTGCAGAAGAGTAAGAGTAACTCAGACAACAATTTAAAGTGGCATTCAGTAGTTCTTTAGTAAGTGTTAGCATCGCTGATCTTCATGTATTTTATTTTGGGATACAGCAATGGTGTTATATGCTGGGCTGTCCTCTATCAACATTGATTTTATGTAAAATATATATACTAGTGTGTTTTAAGGCCAATTCACACTTCACGACAGACGCAGACAAACCATTACAATCGACAGATTACAATATGTCACTTCTCAGTCATTCCAAGACCCAGCAAATGCATGTTTAATCATGATTATTCTGCAAAAACAAGCGCTGACCAACGCCAACAGATGCCTACACTCTTAAAAATAAAGGTGCTTCAAAAGGTTCTTCAAGCGATGCCATAAAAGAACCATTTTTGGCTCCACAAAGAACCATTCAGTCAAAGGTTCTTTAAAGAACCATCTCTTTCTTAATTTTAATAATCTGAAGAACCTTATTTCGCCATAAAGAACCTTTTGTGAAACAGAAAGGTTCTTCAGATGTTAAAGGTTCTTTATGGAACCATTTAGACAAAAAGGTTCTTCTATGGCATCGTGAAGAACCTTTATTTTTAAGAGTGTACCGGGATAACACACTGCTTTTTTTCATTCAAATTTGTGAATTTAAATTAAGAGCTCATCCAAAAATGAAAAATTCTTTCAACATTTACTCACCTTGTATGCCTTGATTTTTTTTTCTGCGCAAGAGTCACACTTGAAAACCTCAGAGTGACCAGCATATTCTTTCAAATTCTCCTTTTGTGCTCCAGGGAGAAAATTATGTCATCCAGTTTTGGAAAAAAAATGAATAAATGTTGACAGAATTTTCCTTTTTTGAGTAACTATTCAAACTATTTGAGAAACTATGTTTGGTTTATTGGTTGACTGGTAACGAGTGATTTGTTATGGTGTTTGTGTTTCTCTCTTAATTCCCATATCCCTATTTCATCAGAGCCAAGATCCGCAGCAGAACCTGGTGAGTGTTTTACTCCTGCTTCCACTTTCCCCTGTTTCCACTCCTCTTATTCATAAAAAACACTTTCCTCCAAATACATGTGTACATAAGGATTTATCAAGATAATAATTCTCTGTAATCCCAACATTTGTGACATCAATACTACGCAATATGCAGTACAGACTAGATATGACTCGAAAATCTCTGATTAACAGAACAAATGAACTGTACAAACGCATGTCAACACCGCTTATGAGTCACATACTTTCACATATCTGTACATGCATATGGCTCATCTTCTTGCTCTTAGGGTGGTAACTCTCACCTCTATCTTTGGGTGTTTCTCAATCTGCTCAATAGTTCAGTAGGACATATACGGTCAAGGGAGTCATTCATTTCTAGGTCTGTCTCATTCAAAATCAAATTTGTTCATAGAAATTCACAGATTGCACCATGAAAATCAGTGAGTATCGGCCAGTCACTCAATTCATATACTTTTAAATGTGAGTGAAAGCACATTTCATACTGGTTTTGTTCATTTTAACAGTGACAACAAATAATGCATGGTAAACAAATGAAGGATTGAGTAATACAGTATACAGTATATTTGTTGACAAATACCACCTACATTTTAATATGAGCCTTGTAATTTGTAATGGTGTCACAGGTAAACAAGTTCTCACTGTCTCAGTGTTTAGGGCTTAAGGCCCTTGCTAGTGATGAAATTGGTGTTCACAATTTACTGAATCACCTCGTAGGAAACATGGAAAAGCAATGAGACACAGCCTCTGTTTGTGGCAGTAGATTTCTCTCTGCTATTGAATCACCTCTGTAACCATCAATTACCTGTCTAGATTCACCACACCTGTCTGTCACCTTTCTACATCCCTTCCTCATTACAGGAAGTTTGATTCTCGGGTCTCTGGAGAAAGCATTGTTGGATGCTCCATAACGGCAGTAGATTATGTTGAAAAACTGGCCAGTTACAGTAGCTTGTATAGCGAATTAATTTGAATGATTCAAGCATATGTGTGTGTGTGTGTCCCCGTGTAATTGATTAAATCCGTTTCTAATCTGGTTTTGCTTGTGATGTTGATGACTCAGTAATTGACGGCTCCTGTGATTGGTCTTGCAGAGGAAATCTGTACATTGGTGATTGCAGAGGCGTTCCCTGAAGACGGAGGTCTGTTCCGCTGCACTGCAACCAACCAATATGGCGCAGTTAATAGCACTGCACAACTCACTGTCACCCCAGGTGCGTTTACACTGTATCTACAATAACTATATCTGAGATCAAAGTTCATGGTAATGTAAATATTAAAGTAGCCTGGTGATATATTGGTGCACGAGGTTCAAATTTAAAGAAACATATTCGTGGTGAAAAACCAATGATCAAACCGTGTAATAGATAACAAGCATCTATCTTAATCAAATCTTTGGGGTCAGAGAGATCTTTTAAATGTTTTTGAAAGTCTCATGTTCATCAAGGCTGCATTTAGAAAACATACAGTAAAAACAGCAATACTGGTAAATATTATAACAATCAATTAATCAGTCAGTCAATCAATCAATAATTTTATTCTCGTGATGGCAAAGCTGAATTTTCAGTCTTCGGTGTCTCATGAATCTTCAGAAATCATTCTAATATGCTGATTTGAATATCAAGAAATTTCTTATTAGTAATTTAGCAAAAAAATGTGTGCAGCTTAATCATTTATTGGAAAATGCTATACTTGTTTTACAGGATTCTTTGATAAATAGAAAGTTCAAAAGAACAGAAATCAGTTTAATGAATCCTAACTGAATAATTGTATAAATGATCTAGCTAACCCCAAACTGTTGAACAGTAGTGTATATATATTATTTTACCAAATTCTTAATATTTTTAAAATAAAGACTTGCTATCAGAGAATAGATCTTGTATTAAGTTTGTTTTCTTTTTCAAGCATAAATCATAAATGATTTAAACAAAATGTAGTGATGTTTACATAAAGCTCTTTACACATCACTTTGTATGACTTGATTTTTTTCTGCGTAAGAGTGATATGGAACACTTTTATAATACTTATATGGTAAATTTATAAATCATAAATGATTTAAACAAAATGTAGTGATGTTTACATAATGCTCTTTACACAAAAGGAATGGCTCCTGTTTATGCCCCGAGTCCAGTATTCTTTTGAGTGTAATATGACATTAGTTGAAAAAAGGCCTAGGGATAAATAAACAAAATTAAGCACAGTAAACAGTCGGTTGATGGTTTCAACTTTACAGCATGCTCTCATATTAAGTAGTAAATATAAGTGATGTAACACATGAGTCGTAATGATTTCATTTATTTACAAAGCAGTAGCTAAAATACCCTTTCCAAAAAAGGCATAGCAACTCCATCTGTGATCTTTTGATGACATTTTATGAGGCCCACTGTGGTACATCTTGAAAACATGTCAATTGCATGAGGCTAACCAGCCACATCCTGTCCACAACACTCCAGAGTTGGAGTGTGGGTGAGGAGAGAGGATACAGTATGAGCTGATAGCTGTATGTGTCACATGGCAAAGAGAGGAGAGGGATGAATGTTTATACTGGATGATGGAGTGGGTGTACTTATATTTCCAGGAGTCTTTAAGCCTCAAGTTTACTACAGAGCCATTTAAGTAAATCTGAGACAATCTCAGCCAGATTTCATGATAAAGATTTGGATTATGTTTTAGCTGTGGATTAACAGTTTATCCAGGATTATGGGTAGTTATGATAAATTTTCTTCCACTTTAGGTGTGTTTCGGCATTTTGCAATGGTTGTTAAAGCATTGTAAAAACTGATTGTTCTACAATGACAAAACTATGAAGTGATTTCCTCAGTTACTCATAAACCCCATATTTCCTCCTTTATTCCACTGAAGTGCATTGTGACGTGGATCATCTGGATTTCATCACCCACTTTGTCTGAAATTTGTTCTCACCCTATAATGATCTGTACTGTCTTCTGTTATCTTGGATTTCTAGTTGTTGAAGAGTTGCCCGGCAACGGTGTATCCGGGGATGATAGTGTGTTTGAGGACAACCAATTGTTCCCGCCTCCACCTCCTCCGCCGACTGAGATTAGTTTGTTGGAAGTCCCACCCAAAACCCCGCCAAGTGCCGAGGCCTTCCAGATCAATGAGCTGGACATCTGGCCCAGGGTCACTGCGCTGCCTGTTCAGGTCTCCACCGATAAAGAGCCTCAGGAAAGTCTATCTGACAGACCTCTACAAAATGGTCAGGTCTTAAACAAGCCACCAGATGAGAGTCTACCATCACCTTCAAGTGTGAAGGTAACAGCGGCTCCGCCTCCATCACCTTCAGCTGTTAAAGCTCCACCTCTCCCCACCAAACCCAAACCTAAACTGTGAGTACTGCAGCTGAATCCTGTACATCATCCAACATTGTATTTATGAAGCCATTAAATCAAGAGTTTTGTAGCTTTTAGTTTTGAATCCAGCCATATGTTAGTGCAAGCATTCACATTTTGCAGATAAATGCATTTCAAATTTACAGTGTTTTTCAAGGAAAATGGACCAAAATGCTGATGACTCATCCTGCACTAGACAGATTTTTATCCAATCAAATGCACTCTAGAATGAAAATGTCCCTCCCACTAACACCACCTGCTGTTGCCTAATGGGTGAAAAAAAGCTTCCTCTAGGAACTGACTTTCAGAGTTTGTATTGCATTCAATTAAATAAAAGTACACTTCCTTTCAAAATGTTGGGGTCAAGATATTTAGATTTTTTTAAAGAAATTAATATTTATTCAATAAGGACACAGTGAATTGATCAAAAGTGACAGTAAAGACATTTATAATGTTACGAAACATTTATATTTCAAATAAATGCTATTCTTTTGAACTTTGAATTATTCGTCAAATAATCCAGAAAAAAAATGTATCACAGTTTCCACAAAAATAGTAAGCAGTACAACTGATTCAGCATATTAGAGTGATTTCTGAAGGATCATGTGACACTGAAGACTGGAGTAAGACTGTTGAAAATTCAGCTTTACCACCACAGAAATAAATTAGATTTTAAAATATATTAAAATATAAACTAATTTTAAATTGTAATAATATTTCACAATATTAGTGTTTTACTGTATTTTAGATCAAATAAATGCAGCCTTGGTGAGCATTAGAGACTTCTTTAAAAAAACATAAAAAATCTTACTGAACCCAAACTTTTCAAATGGTGGTGTACTGTGCAGAGTGTCTGTAAGTATGTAGGTGTTTAGTATGAATACGATCCACCATAATGCCATTGTTATGTGACCAATGACTTTAGATGTGTTGCTGTTCTCTGCCATTTACAAATTTGATGACTCCTGTTCTGCGGCCTCATGGGATAGTATAATGACCATCTAATATTTTTTATTATACCCTACCAGCATCGAACCAATAAACATACTGTAAGTCAAATAAACGCAGACTCTGATCAATCTAAGTGTTTCTGTGGTAATGAACTACCCCCAGCTGCCTGCGTATGTCAGTAGGGGGTTTAATGGGAAAGCCTCACTTAGAGAACAAATGCATTCCGTTCCTTTATCACCATGTCAGAGGCCGGGCATTGCTGCGTGCCATAAATCACTGGGTGATGCATGTGGTATGTGTGTTTGTATTTGTGTTAGCAGTTGTGCTATGACTCCAGCTGGATTTCAGAGGGAGCATTTGCTTTTGAGTTGGATGTATCTGATACTACACTATCATTTATCATCTGTTGTAGTGATATGTTTTGTGTCATCACTGATCTGACTGTGGATTTAGGTGTACTGTTCAATGCCTGAAGGTAGCTGGCTGTAGATTACTTAGTAGGTGCAATTTGACTGTAGCTAGAACTGTTCCAGGTTTTAAAGACAGCATCCCTAAGTTTAGGGTCAAGATAAGGATTAGGACACTGCCCAAGGGCACAACATTAACATGCAGAGCAAGCCAGTACCTACATGCCTGCGATTAGTTCCACTGACTCTCCAAGACGTACTGGTTCTAAGAGCTCAAGACTGCGACTACAATCGACAAAAAACATTTGCAACAATTACAATTTTTTGATTTGTCTAAGCTAGTCAGGAAAAGATCCATACACGAGTTTGTCAGAATCTTGTTAAAGTGTGCTTTCGATCTGCAAACTTATCAGTGCAAAATTTTCACAAAACAATCACAAACTCAGGCACACACCATGCGTTCTGTGTAAATGTCCACTTATGCCAGGTACAGACTGCATGATTTTAGCCCCAATTTTCACTCACCAACAAATGCTTGAAATAGGAGGCAAAATCGGTGCTCGTTCACTTGAGTGACAATTGCATAGTGTGTATTATCAAAGATGTGATCTGAGAGAAGCACCGATTCATCTCCAATGGCCATGAGATATTTAGCATGCTAAGAAAAGGTTGGAAAAGCATGCTAAATATCTGGACCTGTCTGTGAGTCCTGCAGTGTGAAATGTGTTTTGACTGGAAATTACATGGGCAACAACCTACAGCCAATGAGAGAGCAAGGTACAGGGCAAGGGAAAGTTCGGGGGAGGAGTCAAAGACATAAAATAAAACATCAGCAAGCATAGCTTCTAAAAAGCAACCATCCTCTCCTTCATATTCTTCTTTTTTTTTTCTTGTACACTGCAAATCAGCGTACAGACAATTTGTATCACAAGCTTCTTGCGGGCTACAATTTTTAACTAGAAGAAATTCATTCTGGCCAAGCACTCCTCTCTCACACGGCATCTTACATAATTTCCTTTATTACTTCTCGCGTATGTTTAGTTGTGAAACGTAGTTTGTTGGCGATTCTTCCTATTGAAAAGTAGTGTAATGTGTGACCCTCGTCTCTGATTCGTCGTGTAGTATGCACACAACAGCAACTAAATGGTATCCCAGACAGTCATGTAGTGAGAAGAACAGCAATCTGACGACTTTAAAAAAACATGCAGTGTGTACCTGGCATTAGTGGTTTGAATCAAACTCACTTAGTGAATTGATCAGAGCTGCGATTGAGTTTACAACTCACTAAACCAGTCCATTTTTTTGTTATTTTTGATTAGTCTGTTTACAGAGTAAAGATAATTACAACATAGTGGTCATATATTCTAAAGAAATAAAAGAGATTTTACAAAAATATTATTGGTCACTGTTTAGCAATGAGGTCAGAATGGATGACGTTGCACCCAAAGCAACATAGCATTTAACATTTTAATCAATGGTTTTTGCTTACAGCAAAGTAAACGAGAATTGTTACATGAGCTTTTATTCTGGCTGTGATCAAAGGGTGAAATTGCAGATTCGTAAACGTGAATTGCAGCAACATAAAAGCAAAAGTGTCTCAGAGGAAGGGACTCTTTGTTGACTCTAGGCAGAGCCAGTCTCATATATAAATGTAGTTTAGCTCTGTAATCTTGTCTGGATTATGTGTGGCATTAAAGTTTGTGTGTGTGAATGTGACATTAGGCTCTTGTGGTCACATACCTTTACACAGGCCTACTTATTTGTTTGAAAAGACTATTCGAGCTGTTTGTCTCTGTGGTTATTGACTGATTTCCATTTGATTCAGGTGCCTTTCCTCCTTTACAACCCTGGAAAAGTAGCATGTGTGTGTGTGTGTGTGTGTGTGTGTGTGTTTGTTTAGTGGGTGGATGTTGGGAAGAAAGAGAAAATAAAAAGTCAATTGCGTGCATTCTTGTTAGTGTAAACACAATAAATCATTTAAATGGAAAGGAATGGCATTGTGTACATGCTGTACCGGGAATATAGGGCAACATTTAGTCCTTGTGGTTTTATTTGTGACTTTCCTCCATACATTTCCCCATTTATTCTGTGATTCCAGATCAAATGAGCAAGCAGACGACCTCTCAAATGAAAGGTAAAACAAAGAATAGGTTGATGCGACCTGAGTGTGAATAACGCATATGTGCGTGGGTTTGACAGGCATGTGATAGCTATGAAAGGAAAATAGTTTCTTGTCATGGATGAGGTCCAAGCTAAGGTTTAAATGGCATGCCGTTTTGTAAAACTCTGTCTTTGCTTGAGCTTCTGCAAGTTATTGCCATAAAAAGCTGCTTCCCCAAAAGATTTTCCACTGTAACGTCACAAATCATCTGCTAGAAACAACACAACAGGGAGCAGGTAGTGAGACCCTCCTCCCTCATAAAAAAAACACCCCACCCCACTGCTTTCTACCAGCAGTAGTCACTTCACCTTGTCATTTGGTTGTAAAAACAGGAATTTTATAATTGTACAATTACCCAATGGTCATTTCTGCATGCTGTGTGGCAGGTTATCGTTTCTCTGCATCCTCCAGGTACAACCAGACCTGAACCCTGCTTTCTGACCCTCCAATCCCGTTTAAACATTCCAGCTGATTTCCTTTGGATATTCCCATAACTTGCTGTTCACATCAGTGCTTTGAATAAAATGATGAAGTGGGATTTTAAGGTCACGTTGTAGCTGCTGACATTTAACTTTTACAGGTCCCCTGTGATCTGAATTCTCCTTTAGTTCAACTTTTTTTCAGCATTAGGGTGATTTGTCAATTACATCTGTGATTATGCTGTTTGCGGAATTACCGTAAAGCAATTAGAAGACGAGTGGAAAGTATGAGTTTGCAGCTCCGGTCATGTTCTTTGAGTAAACTAGTAAAAGGGTGATAAACTTCACCTGGTCTCATGCTTCATGTTTCAGCGATGGGCCTTTGGCTTTTTCTGGCACAACAGCATTGCTTTGATATGATGCATGTCATATAAAATAAAATCAATCTGGTGCTGCCTACTAAAAGGCTTTCATTTGGAGCAATTGCTTGCTTGTAAATATGTTATTCTTTTCTCAGCCATTTCTCCCTTCATATATCTAGTCCATCTTGAGCAGTTTACCCAAAAATGAACAGTTTGTCATAGGTCCTTCACCCTTATGTCATTCCAAACCAAACTTAATTTCTTCTGTCCAACACAAAAGGTAATTTTTTAAAAACATATTCTGTTCACTCTTTTCCATCTAATGAAAATGTATGAGGACTGGGGTCAAGCTCCAAACTGACAAAAAAGTCATCATGAAAGTGTGGTCCATATGACTTGTCCACTATTATGGATCTTCTGAAGTCATATTATAATTTTGTGTGATGAACAAATTATTCTTTTGAGTCTGTTTGTTTTTCCTTCAATGAAAGATACAGACAGATACAGTTTGGTATGGATTGTTGTGAATCAGTGCATAATGATTTAAATTCAGTCTGATCATCATATAAAGTTATTGTATTGTATTGATTTTTGAAGATTTATAATATATCCCACAAGTTCAATGTTTTTGAAACCGGAAAGCTCCAGTCCACATTTGTTGTAATTGCATAGAAAAAAAAGATCATTTTTTGTTCCACAGAAGAAATAAATTCAAACAGATTTTGGAACAATTAGTATATGATGACAGAATTTAAATTTTTGAAGAGATCTCCTACTTAAAAGTGAACTTTGACCTAAATTTAACAGTTTTAAGACACCAAGCCAAACTAAATGCAAGACTCACAGAAAGATACCAACTCTGCTTACGTTCATACAAATTATTTGAATTTATTTATGTTGGTGAGGCATTAGATGTGCTTGTTCATTGTTCCTAACCAAGTGTTGAGTGAACATCCGTCATCGTTTAACGCCTTTGCACTGCTCAGTTTGATTAACATGTTCAAATCTCTTCACACTTGATCCCTTGTTCGCTCTCCCTGCCTATGATGCTACACCCTGCAGCGATACACGCCATACAGGAAACTGCGCAGTGTGTTTTGGCAGAATTAGTTTGACAGCAGGAGAGCCCTTGTGATATAGACAGGGCCCAATGTCCTTCAGCACAGGAAGGGAAAGAGATATAGACAGAAACAGAGGTGTGAACGAGCAGGGTGTTTAGTGGGCATCCACCTGCAGTCAACTCAGAGGAAAGGCTTTGTGGGTCAATTCTGAGGCAAGTATGGCATATAAAAATTAAGCTCATAATGACGGCACATTACTCAATTTGTGACATTTATCTGAAAAACTAAATCCCTGTTACAGCCAAGATTTTGTTTTCAGAGGAGCATCTGTGTAAGAGTGTGCACCTCTGATTTATGAGCTTGGTGGGCTGAAATCACAGGGGTTTTATGTGAACATGCTTCACAGTGTGTAAAGTCCATACCACACTGAAATGATAACACCTGGAGCTTGTAAAGAAACACAGAGACAGAAAGCGAGAAGACTGTCTGCATTATGCTCTAGGGTAAACGTGCTGTCACAAATGTACATTTTCAGTATGTATTTTTGTGTGTATGATGTGTAAGGGAAACAGGTCAATTTAGCCCAAAGGGAATCATTTAAGATTTTAAAGGGAACTCCACCAATAATATGTAAGGGCATTTGGACAGAATCACTGTTTTACGGCTGTTCACTGAGACGGACAGCGATTCAGTGAACAAGCCGTATGACATCAATTCTGCAATGGATATTTATATCCAAAATATAGTGAAAACACTATTAATCAGCACAGTAACAAGGTCGGCAGTTTAAGACATTAACTTGTGAGCACAAAACACGAGATACTTCTCTTTTCAATATAAATAAGGCTTTATTGGATAAATCTAAGACATATAAACTAATCTAACACACGCATTCACACACAAGTTGCAGAAAGAGAGAAAGTGAGGAAATAATTAGCTTAAATCCCAAGTTTACAGCAATATGTGCAATTGCATAGATCTGAACAACCATCAATCACTTAATTAACCCTCGCATTGAGTTCCTCAATGAGGTTAAAATTTATATTAAATGCACCAGTTCAGCTAGGATCTGGAGGTACTTGTTTTCCTGTGTGCGGGGTTTCCTTCCTTGTCTTGCTCAGGTCCTTTTAGTGTCATTTAGATGCATATTTACATGGAAATGCAGTTTCTTTGGCATTCTGTGGACGTAAGGATGGGTTCTGTGAAGACCGGAGAGGTTAAAATGTCTGTAAAGAATTTCAGTCTGTTCTGTCTCCTAAGTGGGGGGGAAAGTCAATCCGAAGAGCTTGTGATCACTATCACATGTTTCCATGTGATGGTCACGCTATGCATCTCTTTTGACCATTATTCTTGATAACTTGCCCCCAAAATTGACAATCTCCTTGGAATTGTCAATAAGTGTTCTTTTGTTTTAATGTTGAAAGCTGTTCTGTGAAAGAGTCGGTTAGGCTTGCTTCAGACTGGCTAGGGGCTGATTTATGACATCCTGTTGTCTTGGGCCTCTGTGGAATTTGGACTCCTCGTTTCAACCATGTTTTGACCAAATCTTAGATTGTCTGATTCGGTCTGATATCCTACAGATGAATTAAAGATACGCAGCAGGTGGTGTCTGATATCAGCTGTACAGGTTGATGAATGTGTGTGCCAACATAGTGAGACATTTCACAAAGCCCCTTTGAATTAAAGCTGGATTATAATATTGTTGTTCGGGAGGTTTGTGCGAGAGCCTTCTGAAAATCTTGTGTTTGTAGCCTTTTTTTTTTCAGTGTATCAAATTAATGTTAATTCTTCCTTCATGAGAACACGGGATATGTTTTTGTAAATGTACTGTCTGTTTGGTTTTGGATTCTATTCTTGGCATCAGCATAGTGGTTATTTGATCTGAAGATTTTTGAGAAGTAAGCAAGCACCTAGTGTTCTGATGCCAGTTGGCGAAGACTATATACCACTAGGCGAGATAAGACATGACCGAAGAAAAAAAGTTTGTTAGTGTGCAAGGGGACTCCCAACTTTATATATTATATATACTCTACCATTCAAAAGCTTTCTTTTATTTTTTGTTTAATCCAAAAAATGAATGCTTTTATTCAGCAAGGACACGTTAAATTGATTTAAAATGACACTTTTACATTGTTTAAAGTTTTTTTCCAAACAAAAGCTGTTCTTTTGAACTTTCTATTCATCAAAGAATCCTGAAAATAAATTATTATATAAAATAATATAGTTAATATAGTTTTGATAGGTATAATGAAAAATGTTATTGGAGCAACAAATCCGCATATTTCTGAAGGATCATGGAGTAATGGCTTCTGAAAATTCACCTTTGCCATCACAAGAATAAATTATTAAATTACATTTTAAAATAACTGTTTTCTATTTGAATATGTTTTTAATTGCAATAATATTTCACAAAATTGCTGTTTTTACGGTATTTTTTATAAATAAAAAATCTCACCCACCCTAAACTTTTGAATTGTATATAAAACAAATATTTTTTTATCAAATATTATATATATATATATATATATATTGTTTTTTTTTTACTAATTGATTGATTAGTTATTCATTTGATAAAATTACCCCTGAATTTAATAGCCGGTGATCACCATGCAATACAGTTTTATATACAATACTTTATACTTATTATTATTTTTGGTGGAAATTGCATTCAAAATCCACTCAATTCAAATATTTTCAAAAATATTCAAAGGCACATATTTGCAGTTTAAATCAGCATAATGATTTTGCTATACACAATCACTATAAACAATAACTCTTTTGCTTCAATTATGGAGTTGTTTTGAGATTTGAGAAATGTAAGAAGTATTACTCTTACGTCATGTTATTCTTATGAGATTTGAGATCAGACATCTGTGACATTGAATCATTTTTTGCTAAATTTATTTTTTGTATCAATGTTTTAGTGACGTATGAAGGGTGAGATGAGGGCTAGAGCAGATCCTTTTACATTCTTCCAGGAAGTAAAATGTGTTGTCTCCTGTCAGAGCCACACCAGAGTCAGCCAGTGAGACAATAATCCTTCACTTCCTGTGACAAAATGACCAGCCTGCATGTGATGTATAAATGCACTATATTGGCTCAGGGGTCATGACCTGATGAGCCAGAAATCC